TAGCAACTACTGCCGGGATGACATGTACACTGTATGCATTTTGATTTTCTTTTCCCCTAAGAGATTGTAAAGAGTACAAAATATGTACGATTTTTAACGGATTTAATTTAACTGTTATTGACATTGTTTTATTCTACTGCTTTCGATTATTATTGTTATTGTTATTACTATTGACTTACTGTCTATTTTGTTTTCTAATTTAATGAAAAAGCCAATAAGGGATCAATAATTTCTTTCATTGAATCTACACTATATATCATTGAAAAAGTCATTACTATTGCTAGTACTGTTGTGATTTCTATTGTATCTGGTGTTTATGTAAATACATTTGGTAGATAAATAATTAATTAACAGATTTCACGATGTGTGTCACTCGTTTGATCACTTGACACTGTATTCATTTCGATGAGTGTTATTCACTAATTTAAAAGTAATTTGATTAAAAACTAATGCCGACCAAGCCAAATTATGGTATCAACTCATTGTCATTCATTTTTTGGTCTGAAGTATGTTCGTATATACGGAGATTATACTTGGTTGAGGTTGAAGCAATAATAGTGACCAGTGAGTGGTTGGAGAATTTGAGTAACATGATGTTTATAACTAGCTATAATAATGCAAGTACATTATTTCTTTATATTCGATTAGATGTTTAGTTTTAGTGGTCCTTCTTATATGACTTCATTGTGTTTTCAAACCAAGTACTTGATGCTTAGTCTTTGCTGTATTATTTCGATTTTACCATTTATCTTGTGCTAGTTATGGTATGCCAATTTAAGTCAGTGGATGCTTGAATGTGGTTGACTGTTATCCTGTTTAGCTTTATTTTTCACACACAGCTATACGATTTTTTAAAATCATGTATTTAATTTTTAATGGTTGTAGTTATAGTACTGATACTACTACTACTACCACTACAATTAGTAGTAGTTATAGCGCTCCACATAATATTACATACTACTAATTAGTTATCAACGTTCTAACTAATATGTGTACCAATTTAATAAACCATTAATCATATTCGTTTTATTCAATATTGAGTTACAAGGTGAAATGTATACAAAAATAATAACGTCAACTATATTTTACACTATTTCACAACCGTCCTAATCACACCATCATTATTCGTTTGTGTGTGTGTGTGTGTAACCATTACCATACGCTAGCGCACATCGTTCGTAATTCGAACAAATATATACGACCCGGAATTTTTTTCCAATTTAATCGATCAGTTTTTTAATAGTACACTACGCCTATATGAAATAAAAGAGCGATTTGTAACAAATTTTGTAACATTAAAAAAAAATCGTGATATATCTGTGTATGTATATACTATCACTTTGTGTAAATTTTATTTAATATCATCTGTGTTATCTGTGCTTAACATTTAAAAAACAAATTTATCGAACTAAAACTTTTTATCTTGAGTTCATGAACCGACAAGCAAACTATTAAAATAACCTGGAAGTGTTGGGAAACCATTTTTTTCTTATCATGGGCTTCTCAACTATGTGCATCCGCAATCCTACCATGGATCGTATCCAAGACATTAAAGTCTTGCATTAAGCCCCGTTATTGTTATTGTTCCTATTTCAGCACCCAAATGCCCAGGTACGGCCGAGAGTGGGGAGAGTCCACTCTCCCTCTCGAAATGCTCTCACATTGCCACGCGAATATATAGCCTCTGCCAGGGAAGTCCTACTCATTGCCCTCTCGCACCACGGGTGTTGTTTACGAAAGTGAGAGGACGAAAAGCGAATGTCCGGCACTTTAACCGGGTTGGTGGACAAGGCGAGTCCACCTAGAGGAGCTGGAAAACCCTGATTCCAAACCAATAGTGCACATGGGCTCCAGTATCCTGATGAAACAAATGGCGTACGAATAAATCATTGATCACCGGCTACCATGGGAATGCATCTCCTCACGATGCTCCACTGCCTTGTGGATCAGATCTTTCGGTCAAATGCTCCGGGTGTGGGCCCCTAAGAAAACCACCTGCTTCAGTTCGGGCACCTGGGCAGTATCACAGCCCTCAAGCAAATCGAATGAGATTTGTATGTATCTGGTGCTTCCTAGAACCAATATTTATGTGTTTAAATAAATAAATAATAAACTTAACATTTAGACCACTGAACCAGTATCTAATAGTTTACATGTTTAGTTTCAATGAATAGATGATATGACACAACCATCTCCCACTGTCTTCGGTCAACAACTACTTCCCACCCAACTTGGTTGAATTCCACTAATCACTGCTTATTACTAGAACATCTCATTATAGGCACATGATTCTTAATTACCGTAGGTATTAGTCTGTGATGTAACGTATGAAATCCACCACTTCTTCTGATTCAATTTAAACATCTAAATTATTGGATGCCGGTTAAAATATCCGAAAGCTGATCGTTCACCACAAAACCTAAAGATTTTGGGTTCAATCCTTAATGAAGTCATAAATTCGCAATGCTGAGAAATCCTATCATAAGACGAAGCGTCTATTCAATAAATTGTGGTTTTCATAGGAATTTTAAGTTAGATCTCTACAAACCCCCTACAAACATTAGTATGTATTTGTTTTAACAATTGTAGTAAATGTTTTTTTGGTGGTGTGGGACGGTAACTAAAATTTGGATTCGTGAGTGTCGAAAGTAAATTTTCAATTGAACGTATGAAATGCCACTTATAATCGTTATCGTCTGATTAAAACCTGACACGAATATGCATCGTAAACCAGAATAATAATAAGAGAAATTAATGATGTGTGAAGGAAATTGAGTGAGGAGTTAATTTCAATAATTCAAGCTATTTGCTACCAGTATTATGTGGACCTTTAGCTAAAGAGTTTGTTCACACTATTGTGTGTGTGGAAACTGGTAATACTAATCTCCATAAACTGTGAAAAAAATTAATTAACTCATTCATCAGGCACTTAAGTACGACCCTTACTCTAAGTGTGAAAATTAGTAATATTAAGCAGTTGCCCAAACCGAAGTAGATTGGGCGAGGTTCGAAACCGGACCTCAATAACTGGAGGTCGAACACCTTAATCACGGATCCACTACTCCATCCCCACCTCTAAACTGAGTTGGATAGAATTGATTAATGAGTGCTTAGTATTTTAGAAAGTGAAATAGACTACTTCTATGAATCAGACGTTCATCTTGTTGTGCTAACGAGGTATGTCAACCACGAATTCATTCCTAATCCTCGGATCATATTAATATTCTCTACTGTCACCGATACCACGACTACCTCTACTTCTCTCGATAATTTTGTCTCATTGTGTTGATATAGATGGTATGGCAGCTTAAACCAATACATATATGCGCCAGATTCTACGTTGAATGACTGATTGACTTATTTCACGTTTATTTTACATATTCTTCAGCTTCAATTATCTCTAATTCATTATTTTATGTATTAAAAATGCATATTACGTTAAACGTTTATTGAATTTGCTTAAACAAAGTGAATACATAGTGTTAGTCATTGAAATGATTGTTGTAGTTGGTTTGTTTCTCAAAAAAAACATTACAGTGCAATTTTATAAATTTCCAAGAAGGCGAATAGTCGACAGTTCCGTCACAGTCTCTTTGATTTTCTACTTTGTAATAACAAATTGATTTAAATTGTACAAAGCCCTTACTGAATTTGTTATTAATTTTTCTTTTTAGTTTGTCCTTACCGTTTTCAATATTCGATAAGTATATTGTATCCAGCGGTTTCAATCCTTTCTTCGTTCATTTTATAAATAATTAACCACATTAATTGTGATTTTCATTAGAGATTTCATTTTGAGCTATCCACAACTGGATGCTATTATTATGTCCAGTGTAGTACAGCCAACATTCTACATGAACAGTGACAATTTTTGAATTCACTTAGTATTGTTTGTTTGGATCTTCCCATCGATGTGTTTAGGACTGCAACTGGTCAGTCTCTAATTGGCATATGTGCATACTGTGCGTATTGCCTCGATATACCTTAATTCACAAGCATGGTAAGCAGAGATGGATAGTGGCTAGCAGTGGAATCCAGGACGCGCGTTTCGTCCTATTTGGGACTCGTCAGCTGGATGTACCTGCATCTCAGAGTTGATGTTCACTCTGGGACTCGAACCCAGCACCCTCGCTTCAAACGCCATCGCGTTATCCACCCGGCCACTGAGTCCATCGCACAAGCAAGTGGCTATCAGGACTCAGTGGCCGAGTGGATAACGCGATGGCGTTTGAAGCGAGGGTACTGGGTTCGAGTCCCAGAGTGAACATCAACTCTGAGATGCAGGTACATCCAGCTGACGAGTCCCAAATAGGACGAAACGCGCGTCCTGGATTCCACTGCTAGCCACTATCCATCTCTGCTTACCATGCTAGTGACAATTTTTGTTGTGAAACTTAACCTCCAATATACACAGCACCCATTCACTACATGGTCAAGAAAATGACTGAAAGGGCTTGGTTATTAGGCATAAAAAACACTATGGACCATGACCTCAGCTGCCGACTTTATACTCTAACAGTTCTTTTTGCTAAGTAGAACACACACATTTAATTGAAACTGATAAAACTAACAGTCGATGGGCAGTATATATGTTGTTATATGTATATGTATGAGCATCATGTGATTTATCTTAATTAGGCCATGGTCGCTATTAGCCAACGTACAAACCTTTTTCTCTAGATAAATATTTTTGGCACATTTCGTATTTATTTATTGTACCTATATAACCTCAGAATCTTTTATATAATAGATGGATTGTAACTGATAGAGGAATCTAGGACTCCCGTTTCATCCTATTTGAAACTCGTTCGCTGAATGGTACCTGCCATATCTTAGTGTATTGATCTCCACCTTAAAACGGTCAATACATTATCCAGCAACCTGTTCGCTCGGTATGATGTAGGTTAAGATAATCCAAACTGTTTTCTATGAATGATCTAAACCTCAAAACTGTTGGTTTTTATTCTGTTCATGTTTAATTTTCCAAAATTATTTTTTAGGTAACAATAGTCCAATTGAAATTTTGAATTCATCAGATAAAACCTCGCATAATGTTGGCGATTTCATTACAGTATCTAATCCTGATCAGTCATCTATGTCTAACAGTAATAATAATAATCCTATTACCTCATTTATATGTTCATGTTCACCATTAGGTAATACTGGGACTAAAAATAATAGTAATACATTCCCAATATCTTCATCGTCTCGTTTAGTTGATGATGTGAATGTATCATCTTCATCGTCTTCCTCCTCATTAATGATTGTTCGTGATATAATTAGAAATATGTCTGAAACGAATTATTTTCTTGATGATAATATACAAGTGGCTAAAGTTGCTGCTGGTCTAATTATTTCTAAAAAGCCACCTTACTATCATCACCATCAACAACAACACTGTGGAAGTGGTTATCCTACACGAATCTCTGGGTTAACACCAGTTTGTACAATTTTTACTGGCGCTTCTAATACGACTAGTACTAGTACTGCTTGTGGTGCTGTAAAAACTGGCAACTGTAAACAATCACTACCATCAACAGTCCCTTCATTCCGTGTTTCCTCTACATCTTCAACTCGCCATCATCGACATACTCATCATCATCGCTTTATTTTCGATGGTCCTAATTCTAGTGGTAATCAATCATCAAGTGGATGTTCTACAACTGCAGTTCTTCCATCAGTTCCTATTCCATCTATTGGAACTAATTCTGATATCAATCATAATTTTATGCATAGCTCATTATCATCTTCCAGTGAATATAATCGTACACAACTTCACCCTGAATCATTATTATCTAAACAAAGACAATATTCACAACAATATCATGATAAATATCATGATAGTTTATTGAATTTTATTTCATCTTGTCAAACCTATAATTCACTGAATACATCCACTTCAGATTTAAATTGTTCTACTACTACTACTACTACCTCGTCTTCAGTGGAATCTACATTAGATCAAGTTGATAATAAGAACATTTGTAATACACATAAAAATATTACTAATACCATTACTACTACTACTACTACAACTTGTGTTACAAGTATCCGAAACTCTTCTAATCATGAAATATTTACAGCAGATGAAGACTACTGGGATTTACGTGATAATAGTAACTGTCAACATAAATTATTAATTCAGTCATCAAAAATAGATTCAGCTATAGTTGGCGTTGCCGATACATCAAAGGAATCTGATAATCTCTGTGTTATGAGTAAGTTTACACTTTAAAAATGTGATCTTGTTAATCTTTTTTCATTAAGGTTTAACTTTCGATAATTTCAGGTTGTATCAAGCCAAGATTTGATATAAGTCAAAAATGTTAACTTGCATTGAAATTATGAAGTGACCTAAGTTAAACCATCATCGAAAACCTGAATGCGCCAATCTGAGGTTTCGTCCTAGTATGAGACACCTCAGCGTGCGTATCCTCAATCCCTCATGCGAAAATTAAACCTAGGACTGATAGAAATTAGATATTAACACCGTTGGATGCAGACTTAGGGGCCTAGGGTTTAAGCGTCCGCGTGCGAGGTCGAAGTCTGTGTGTTCAATTCCCATATGCATGGTCGTGTATGTGTAATCTTGATTAGTCCCATATGAGAGGATAAAACGGTCGTCCGGGTGCTTCCAGATTTTAAATGGTGGTCTAACATTAGTCGGTATATGATTTCAACGAAATTCCATAGTCTCCACAACCCCTACTTAAAATTGTTAACTGTTGGACTGAAGTGTGCTGGCAAGTACAAACTATCTGATTGACAGTCCCTGGAATTTAACGTCTTAACCAATGATTGCAGACGTTGAACGACATAGTTTAGAATTGGTCATAATGGAACAGATCCATTCCCTCTTCATTTCCCCTTAATGTTGAGTTTCAAAATTATCCTACACTTTAATCCTTGAGGTCATTTTCAATTTTCGAATCATATTGTGTATACATAATCTTTTCTACTGGTACTATTACTTTCACAAATTCCATTAACTGTGACATTTATCTTAACAATTTCATCTCTATTTACCAATATAGCATGTGACATCTCGAACCGATACGCGTATTTCCTAGGCTCAATGTTACTTATGACTCACGGACTTTAAGAAAATAACGTTGTTAACGGTATACATTATATCATTTTAAAAAGAACATTCTTTTTATACTTTTTTACGCTTTTGGTTACTTTTTTCTAGCTGGTACAATTCCATCTGATTCTGTTGAAGTGCATACATGTAAAGAATCATCGCCTTATCCATGTGGACTTAATCAGTTTACCAATACATCATTTATTTATCCTCATTTCTATTTGTCATCAATTGAACCTAGTCAGTGTATTTACCGACATCGATTACAGCAATATCGAGTTTGTAATTGTATATCATTACTTCGAAGATCATTTTCTGCGAATTCTAACATTCAGTTCATCGATTTATCAAATAATGATCTTCAAATTTTTAATTTTCGTCCATCTTTAACATTGAGAACTATGCGTTCATTAGACAGTTGTATTGTTCCTCGTTCAAAATCTATAAATGATAACAGTTCGATTGAAAACACTATTGGTGCTACTGATCACGATTCAAAGCTTTATAGAACTTTGCAATCATATAGTACCAATCCGCATATCTCTGTTCAGTCCCCGCTATGTAAATCTTTTTGTGGAGGACGTTTTCAAAAAATCCACAGGTAATTTTGTTGTTGTTATTTTCACCAATCGTTTTATACATGCTTAGTTTTTTCTTATGTTTCAAGGATTCACTGTTGATAAGTAATCTTAAGCTGAACCTAATCTATCGGTAAATCTTTCTCATCAAGTGAAGTGGTTGTGAGATAAGTATTACACGTGCACCGCTTATTTCGACGCGCTATGATAGCTAATGTAAGAGATGTAGGTTAGAAGAAACTTACCTGGTTTTAGAGTCCTCTGAATTTTCGTAACTAATGGTCGGATAATTTAGGTGACATGACTCGGAATCGTTTGGAATGATACAAGTAAATGCAATCTTTGTCTTCTTTCAAATTGTTACTTACGCCTATTACCTCCCGTGGAGCATAGGTTCCTGTTCAGAATCCTCCAACCAACTATCTCCCGGGCTCTCCTTTCTAGGTGTTTCTAAATGCCGTTCATTATTTTGATGTTGGCATCCTATTCCCAGTACCACTTTTCCTTTTGCCTTGAGAATCCCTAGTCAGGACTTGCCTTGTGATGAAGTGTAATGATTTTCGTAAATTCGATCCTTTCCATCACCAGCTTTTTTTTTCCTAATTTCCTTTTCGACTGAAAGCTGATTTGTTTTCTGCCACAACAGTTTCTTGCTGATAGTGTTTGGCCGACGGATCTGGATTATCTTTCATAGACAACTGTTTAATAAATACCTGAACCTACTCTATATCGACTGGTTAATCAGTTGTCGATCTTTAAACATTGTGTTACTTGGTAGCATATCGTACAAATCAACTTGTCTATTTACTTAGTTCTGTTTGTCCCATTACAGTTTATGATTAGTGATAGACTGTAATGATTGTGGTTATCTTTTTCTTAAAAAAAATTTATTCCTATAACGAGGCAAATAGTGAGCAAAGTTAAACTTTCAGAACTGTTCTACCGAAATTTATTATTTATGTTTTGTTTTTATCTACTTGTAAGCTTTTTCATAACACCCTAACTGTTATTCTCTGTTTTACATTCTTCAATTTATTGTTAATTGATTATAAAACTATTATCTAGTTCTCTTTCATTTATGGTGAAGTTGTACATAAATTGTTATTCCTTATGTTAATTTGCGGTCTGTGAATCAATGTTTACTTATCAAGCTAGTTGGAGTTAGAAATTGAACTTTACAATAAAGGTGTATTTGCCTGCAGTGTTTTTTGTTCTACTTTGGCTATTGTGCAAGCGAGCACGTGAAAACTCTATCCTAAAAAATAGGCTTTATTATTTGTCTCAGCCTCAACTCAAACTTTATCTTGTCAGGAGAATCGTACCATTAGTCAGAGCTTAAGATGCTAGGCTATGAACGAAATAGTACATATGAGATATAATAAATTGGCTCATTCATTAGGCAGTCATGTATTAGTTGCACTTCAGGTATGAGGGCTGACGGTACTCCAAGGTTTCCCGAACCGAAATAGGCAGAGTGGTATTCTAACCTGGAACTGGATGGAGTTTGATCACAAACGAGTGCTCTTACGTAATGAAATTGAGCAAAGCTTTCGTAAGGACCGAGAAGCCTGGTGATCGAAGCGTGCCAATGGGTTGCAAGAAGCAGCTGCGTCTGGTAACTGCTAGAAGCTCTCTCAACTCATCCGAGTCTGGTGTGATATCCTTCCCTGGAGGCAGTGTGTTGCCATGCAATCCGCACTTAATTAGCTGGCAGTCAGTGTCCATAGATATGGTATGTGCTTTGCACCTTCGAAGTGCAAACTACTTCTACAAGACTGGCAGGATTCTAATCCTGTACTCACTCTGGGTGGTGAGCAGATTGAAGTAGTCGAAAAGTTTGTGTATCTAGGTAGCTGCATAAGTGCTGGTGGTGGCATGAGTGATGAGATCAATTCAGGTATGGTAGAAGCCAGAGTGGCTTATGCCAATCAGGGCTACCTTCGGCGTCTTTGTCATGTTAGTCTGGCTATAAAGGTTGAATCTACAACGTGTCGGTGAGAGCAGTCTTGTTCTATGCTTGTAAAACCTGACCTCTCTCGGTTGAAGATGCAGACGGCTGTGTTTTTGATCATCGTTTTCTCCGAAGGATTGCTGACATACAGTGGCAACATCATTTTAGTAATGCAGATGTTCGGCATCGTGTATTCGGGCGCAGAGACATTATTTTGAAACATTGACTTCGGTGGCTTGGACATGTTCTACGAATGTCGTCCGAGAGGATTCCTCTTCGTGCATTATTTGCTGACGCAGGGATTTGTTGGGGAAAGCGGAGAGGTTGTCATGACATGGTTCTAGTCAAATCCTGACCAACAATATGTACACATTATTATTTCTCATTTCGCCAATCTCTATCTGATTAGCACAGCATATTAATAAGTTACTATTGAACTAATCGCACACATTTGTATAGCCTCATACTGTCCTATGTTTCACAATTTCCAATCATACCTTGAGATCAATCTTTGACGAATACAACTGAAAAATGTATTACATTACTATAACACCAATAGAATTCTGTAGTCTGTTTATAAAATAAGAAACCGATTGATAATTTTTCAGTTATAATAAAAATAAAAGCATATACAATTTTTCTTCGTTGTTCATCTACCATTATTGTTCTTTATTTTTCCGCCAAATAAATTACAGATTGTTTCATCGTAAACATCATTCTCAAAGTCATGATAATCTGGAATGTAGGAAAACGTCAATGGATAGATCAAAACTTTCAAACGATATAGATTTCGACACACAACTATGGGATGAAGTGAAATCTAAAAACATTTTATGTACTAATATACCGTTATGGAATTGTACTGGTAATGATGCTGATACTGATGAAACACATGAAAATCGTTGTGATAGAATTCTTGATCTTTCGTATCGAATCTTTATTTGCCCACGCCATGGTGTTCAAAGTCTGCACTGGAACTTTAGTAGTGATGATGGTCAACAACATATTTCACGATTAAATACTAGCAGAAGAGATAGTGTTTTTCAGTCTAAAAAGCTTTTAAAATCGACACCTGTTGATCAAAAGCATTCAAATGTATCAACTCTACCGCCTCACCTTTTAAATTCTATCGCTTTACCTCGACCACTATCCTTGGTACGTTTAACAACAGAAAAATCAAAATATCATTGTAGCAAAAGTTTTGAGCATTATACAAAGAACAAAGAATCAAAAGTTACAAATCTAAACTTTGACAAGGACAGTAATGATGGTAATAATGATATTACCTCTTCAATCATAGATGCAACAAGCTCCTACACAGTGAGTTCAAGTTTCTTTTTGTTATATATATATATATATATATATATATATATTCCGATTTTTGTTGGTAGTCATTGCACAATTTTATTTGACTTGACAAATCGGCGATCTGTCTTCGACTTTATATTTTGCTTTATGTGTTAAAGTTGTTCGACACAAACAGTATCTCTATTCAAGTAACTTTTCAGTCTTTACCAACTTACACTACTTTTGACTTAGGATAGAGATCCGTTTGTCAATCAAAGGACGAGTATACTGCATAACAGTCTGCTCTCTATATGTCTATGGCTGTGGAACGTAGTCTTTAAAATGGAGTTTATTCGTCGGTTTCTAGTACTTGATCATAGATATTTTCGGAATATTATTTTAATACGTTAGAACCACAGGATTACTAATGCTAAGGTTGGACAGAATGATAAGCATAGGTGATGAATCGATTAATGAAGTAACAAATCTTCGTTGACTGAAGTGGTTGGGACATGTTTTACTCATGCTAAACCATCATCTAACTTGACGTCCAATCATAGCTGGTGTAGGAGTAGGGTGAGAGAAACCTATTAGTGACCAACAAACCAAGATGTCTTCAGTCTATGAAGTCAATGACTATTGGACTTTACCGTATAGATAGATGCAGACTATCTGGTTAGGGTTCGCGTAAAAAAACTGTGATCAGTGGTTGGAAGACATGGTTCAAAATCAATCCAGATGCACTCTTTATTTTTCTATTTTTTAATTCCAGTAGTCGTTCATACCTACTTTCTTATTATACCTTTTCAACTCCTTTACTACTCTTCTTGTTAATTCCACTTTGTCATACTAATATAATGTGACAAATTGAGCTAACACATATTTTTATCTAGGTTGACTATTTGCTTCTCCCCACTTATATTCATATCATCCCTATTTTGAACGCGTCATTGGTAGCTACATAATCTACCTAGGTTAACTAAAGTTCATTTAAATCCCATGAGAAATCTATTATTATTATTATTATTATTATTATTATTAGTAGTAGTAGTAGTAGTAGTAGTAGTAGTATCGTTATTATTACTATAATTATTGTTATCAACATTTTTCTTTTTATCAGCTTCCTAAAAACAAAATTTCCCATTCATTACCACCATCAAATACAACTATCTCTTCATCAACTCTAACCAATCAACTACACAGTTTTCCTCCAAATAATAATTATTACTATTATGCACCGATTAGTAATAGATGTCCATCTTTAATATCATTGAATTCCTCATCATGTTCTGAACCATGTTTATCTAAAATTAATTTGATCCATTCATTATCATCATCATTCTCTGTAGATTATAATCATGATTTATTAGAAGGACATAAATTATTATCATTAAACAAAGACACTTCGGAATCATTCAATAATTCTCAACAATATGAATCATTAATTTCATCTTCATCCTTATCACGAAATATGAAAGAAAGAAATAATAATAATAGTGACAGTATGTTGTCAGATGCACAAAAATTATGTCATTCAGAGATGACTGTCGGCGGCTCAGTATTATTATCGCCATCCTCATCACCACCAATACCATCCATTGACTTGAAATATCATCCATTATTCCGTTGTAATAATACTGTTGAGAAATCTTTAGTTGGCTCTTTATCTAACTATTGTGATGTTGAATTTTTAAATGAATTACGCTTGTATTTGTTAAGCATGAGTTCTCATCATAATGTTATTAGTAATAATAATATGCCCGGTCTAATTGAATCTTCTCAACAGAGAAAAAACGTTAATGATACTGTTATCGAAAATGTTACATGTATACATGATATGCACCACGGTAGTCATGATGATTCTGGCATGTTACAATCATCATTACATTCTGATAAACAGACACAATCCCTTTCATCATCCGCCTCCTCTTCAGGAGGACTAACAACAACGAAAAGTAGTGATATTACTTGGTCTAAAGCACTTTATGGAAATAGCACAATCGATAGCAATATCAATGAATCTAATTATTCCATAAATCAACTGTCTTGTAACAGTAGTACTAGTAATAGTAACAATAGACAATCATATCTATCTAAATTGTTTGATCGTTCTATTAGTAGTCATGTTAAATCACTATCTCCATCAATTATCTCCCCTACAATACGAGCGAATACTTTACCAAGTACAAGAATTCGTCAACAATCAACTGATCATAAAAATATTTGGAATAATGTTAATAATCACCTCATTTGTGTTAATTCATCAAAAGTGGATACTACTAATCGAGATATTGTTTCTAATAGCAACAGCAATAGTAGTGTCAATCAAAAAGTCAATAATCGCTTACACTTTTTACATCATTCTGATCATCGAAATTCCGCTATGCAAGATAATCATCATTTTAAGATAAATACTACTATCAGTAGTGATAAAGTAAATAACATATTAACTCGGAAATTTTCCCATCAATCAGAAATCGATCACTTCTCTCGTATCATGACCGAAAATATCTCTAGCAGTAACAATAATAAGAATAATGTTAACAGACGATCCAGAAAATCCGATGGACAACTTAATGATAAGTCTACACTTTCCAATTGTAATGTTGAACAACAAATACCTGTTGAATATGTAAGTCCAATACCTAATTCATTCACATTTTATTTTTTTTATAGAGGGGCAAAATGGTGCAGTTCTGAATTATTTCTACAAAAAAGAATTATTTTTATTTTTAATCATGATTTGATAGGTCAATTAGTTGTGTAAAACCTAAGACCTAGCCTATTCATGCATCAGTTGGAGTTTCCACATCACATTAATGAGCATAACGAGATGAAAATCTCAAATTAAAAATAATATCAGTGATAATAGAAAACATTTGCTCGGCATAGACAATATGATTCGAGAAGAAACAATGAATTTGTGGTATAGGATAGTGTAATATATTTATGGAACTCATTATATAATAGAAAATTAACAGTTAATGGATCAACGGTATTATGACGGATTCTGACACATTAAACCCAATGTCTCCAACCGCTGGGTACGTTAGTCGCGTGAACGGCTCATTTGATACTTCACACCCACCAACTGGCTTTAGTTTAGTAGTCAATGATGTCATGGGGTGATATCACTGACGATGGTGTAATGCTTACGCAACAGCTAGTCGTGATTTCTTGCATACCAAATTGTGCCGCACATACACTGTGTGTTACTCACTGTTAGAAATTTGATTTTTATGGCTGATTTCCAATTTGTAAAACCCCGAAGATTGATTTATAAATACTTCGAGTATTAACTTGTAGACACAGCAACCACTCTCATCTATCAATCCAACTGGGTGCTATACATCTCTCCTGAACAGGACAATCCATACAATCTGAAACTGGGAACATTCCATATTAGCTACGGATTATTTTTTAACGCACTGTTTGGTGATGTAATATGTCCTACATAGGGCCAGTCGCGACTTCAATAACTAAGTAGCGTCTCGCTCCGTAAAACTTATTTTTTATTTTATTTAAACACATAAATATTGGTACAAGAAAGCACCAGATAAATATACGCCTCACAAATCTCATTCGATTTATGTGAGGGCTGTGATACTGCCCAGGTGCCCAAACTGAATCAGGTGGTTTTCTTAGAGGGTCACACCCGGAGCCTTTGACCTACAGATCTGATCCACAAGGCAGTGGGGCATCTTAAGGAGATACAGTCCCATAATAGCCGGTGACCAACAAAAGGTTCATACGCCATTTGTTTCTTCAGGATACTGGAGCCCATGTGCACCATTGGTTTGGAACTAGGGTTTTTCAACTCCTCTAAGTGAACTTTCCGTGTCCACCGACCCGGTTAAAGCGCCGGACATTCACTTTTCGTCCTCTCATCTTCGTAAACAACATCCGTGGTGCGAGAAGGCAGTGAGTAGGACTTCTGTGGCAAAAGGCTATATATTCGCTGGCCATGTGAGAGCATTTCGAGAGGAAGAACGGACTCTCCCCACCCGGCCGTACCAGGGCATTTGGGGGCAAACTGGAAGTCAGTCGCCTGCTGGAACCCGTAAAACTGAGTGATTAGAGTTCGAATCCCGTAGCAAACATTGATTCTGTCAAGATTACACGTATCTCATCCACGAGTCCCAATCAATATGAAACCCATATTCCAGATATATATATATATATATATGTATTCCACTTTTGATGACTGACTAACTTGTTAATAACATTTTAAATAGATAAATATAATATTTGAATTTGTACGCGCTAAATTCAATAGTCCAGTGAAATTGTCAGAATATATTAAGTGATACCAGTACTCAGTAAATTAACACTGACTGCATAATTTAGACTAATTGACATTGTTTAAGCAACTCTATAGATATTGGTAGTAAGGTTCTCAAACATACATTGTTTCATTGTTTTATACTCATGTATGTTTGTATGTGTGTGGAGAATTAACTGACACTTATCAACTGATGTTTATTAACTATTTACAGTAACTTTGACCTCTATGATTAACAATAAATATTGTTATAGCGTTAATACAATTCAGCTTTCTCATCAATATTTTGTATCAGTTTGAATCTGATATAATGTGTTCATCAATTCAACTTATCACATCATAACACAAAGAAATTATTAGTACTAATATAAGTAGTAGCAATATGAATGTATATGGTAGAAAAGAATAATACTGGGAGAGTACAAGCGTTCGAGTGTCCAAGTTGTAAGCGGAATAGCAAAAAGTTAAGTTTTAGATATAACAACAGTCAAAATTATTAGGGAAAGCAACCAATAGATAATTTAAAATCTTGAGATCTAGGGAAAAACAAAGGATGAATACATTTACATCAATGTAATAGATTCTGTAGCATGTCATCTATTATCGCGTAAATTGTAACCAGGTGGTCTGTCTTCATCAACACGATTTAATCTACAATTCAATACAAATGATTGATTCAAACCATAGATTCATTTTCTACAGCACTGTTTGTCTTTTTTACACAAAATATATTTTCGAATCTATATGATTCAATTCTTCTAAAGAGTTGAAAGAATTGTTTGCACTGAAGTTTATTACTTATACAATATGTATCTCTTTTTTCTTTATTAGCCTGTCTATAATAATTTGATTGAATTACGAGAAAATGTCCGTCCTCTGAGTAATGATGGTGTTGGTAGTATGTTGACTTATGATTTAAAATCGATTCCATCCCTTCTGTCCTCGGATATAACATCAATATCTGGAAGCTTACCATCTGAGTCATTATTATCATCGCAATCTCTACATGTAACTATCAGTGAAAATAATGGTTATCAACATCATCACCATCTCAATCAGTTTACAACAGCCAATTATGTAAACTTACCAATGTTCTGGTCTAATCATCATTCTACTACTACTCCTACACCTTCGTCAATGTTTTCTAGGTCATCCACATCATGTCAACGACAACATTCTACTGATGTGACGGCGACGGCAACAACGACAATTGAACCTCGATTGTATGCTAATATAATGCCGTCCAATACTATCAGTAAATATCAATCAGTTAGAAATAAACAACAACACAGTAAAACTGACTTCAGTTTATTATCTAAAAATCATATTCGTCATAGTGGTGGTGGTATTCCTCCCTCTGTGGCTGATTGTACTGGTAATAGTAGTAGTAGTAATAGTTCATTAACTGGCGAGTCACAACTGCCATCAGGTGTTGTGATTGATCATAATTCGAAAATTATGGATATATCGAAGAAATCTCACTCTCTGGACCCTACTTCAGTAATTAATTTTATCTCTACTACAACATCATCAACAATACCTCAATATTGTCCAGTAGCAGTAGTGGCGAGAGCACAAGAAGCGGCAAATTTATCCACTAACTCTGATTATTCAAACCTACCTGATGAGGTAATATGTTGCTTGATTTTAACATATTTACGTATTTTTGATAAGAGCGAACGTTGTGAAACGTTTCATTGAATTTATGAGCTGATCAATGTAAGACCACCATTGAAAACCTGTTTCGTTCTAGTATAGGACTCTCCAGCGGTGTGCACCCATTACCCCCAAAGTGGGAGTTGAACTAAAGACTTTCAGTCTCGCACACTAACGCTCGACTTGTAAACCTCTGAACCGGCATTTGACGGTGTTATTGTCTAACTTCAGTCAATCTATGATATCCATTGTCTTCAATTTGTAACCACTTCATTTTATTCATGTGAACACATAAATATTGGTACAAGGGGGCACCATTTATACATATGCACCACATAAATCAAATAAGATTTATGTGAGGATTGACCAATGCTACTAATGCTGACATATAAATAGTATGTAGCACCAACAGAAAGTGAAACGCCTGGCAGCAGAAGATTGCAATGAAGATAACAAGAAGGAGGTCTGAGATCAATCGAAATAAAAACAGAGTTAAATGAATAATAGAGTGTGTAAAGAACAAGCTAAGATGTGTAAATGATGTATTTAATGTATAATTTTCATATTTACTAAGCCATCGTGTAATAAATCGACTTCTCCTGCCTGAGATAACCTTCACAATACTATCACTTAATAGTAGTTTAGTGTGACAACTCTTGTACAGATACATATTGGTTGTAGGTTCTATGTTCCTTGTAGATGACTCATTCTTTTTACCTGCAATGTAGAAATTTCCGTATCATTCACTTCTAAACTTTGTTTTATTTCATGTGTGGTTGAGTCAGTCAGTCAGTCGCAACTTGGAACTTGGTACGCATGTACATCAATTCAAGTTACCACATCCTATTATTTCAGAGAGATAAGATAGTTAGGGTGAATCCCAGCGTAGTAGAGGTAATAACAGTATCAGCGGTAATGAAAAGGACTAGGTATGTAAGATACAATCCGGGAAAAAATGTAAATTAGCGGAAGAAAACAAGAAAAAGTATGAGAAATCCAGAAGCCTATAATTTAGGGGAAGATAAAGTACGGATGTATCTGCGCTATTGTAAACGATTTTTAGCCATGTCATTCAAAGTTTCTAACCATCAATTACGATAATCACGTGAACCCCAACCAAGTAATCTACATCTATTAAAACCGCTCAGTTAAATTGTCAATGACTTCATTAAGTGGTGTCATTTTTCTGTTCGGCTGTCCCTAGTTTTCCAACCTACTACTACGCCAAACATCGCCTGTCGAGTTAGGTGGTGGTTGATGAGTATTTGATGTAAGCATCGAACTTACGTTGAAATGTCGCTGTCCATACTTAATTGGAATCAGACCAATCCAGATTTGTTTATGTGCTTACATATTTTATAGAAGAAATCCTCTAACCACTTAAAAAAATCAGACTTGACTACTTGCATTCTATTCAATTCATCACCATACCCATCTCTTCTACATCCCTTTTCTCTCGTTCTTTCTCTATTCATTTCAGGTTCGTGATCCTAGTCGGAATTATGCCATGGTCGATTTACGACCTAGTCCAGCAAGTTCCACTATTCCACCTACAGAATTAACACTGAACATAATTCAACATCATAGCGATCATCGTACTGGTCAATTTACAACCTGTAACAGTAGTAGTACTAGTACTGGTAGTAGTAGTAGTAGTGGTGATTGTACGAGTGATGCAGCCACTCTAACATCGGATACTATTGAAAGTTACGAAACTATTGGCGCTTCTAATAATAACCATTCTTATAATACTAGTAAACTAAACAAATTGAAATCAAAAAATGCAATTGATACCGACTCATATGGTGGTCGTGGTGATGATGACAAATTATTATCTGCCTCAATTTCTTCATCACGTCGTAGACACAGTCACAGTTTATCATCAGTGACTACAACAGACCATCCATCAATTCTACTGAATTATATTCATGTTATCGCTGCATCCAATGGTCGTTTTACATCATTAACTACAACTACCGATGGTACCGTTCAATTATCTGGTCCATGTTCTGTAGGTGATTCTAATCATAACCATAATAATAAGAGTTTAATTTGCGATATAGGCAATTCACGTAACTCATCGAATAGTAGTAGTAGTGCTCTTGGTGGAGTTACATCATCATCGTCATCATCATCACATTCAACTGGATCTTCTTTGGTACCTGCTTCATCAACTTCATTTGGTGATACTTTTTCATGCCGTTCTATGACATCATCTGGTATTTCGTCAGTAGAAGGTGGTGGCGGTGTGGCTGTTTCAGACATGATAGAACTATCCAGTTGCTCACCATCTGATGAAAATTGCGTCAACTATACACAAATTGATTTTGCACGTACAATGGCATTAGGCGAAATATCTGGCGACATTATGGCTCAAGAAAACCAAATGTTGCATAAATTACCTTCTACTACAACCGGCATACGTATCGCTAATCGATGGAGTAGTAGTAGTTCAAATAAAATTGATCGTACTACATCGGTTAAAAAAACATTGTGTCGTTCTATACGCCTGATCGGTCGTGGAACTCGTAAAAAAGTTGGTTGATTTGTAAGTGAAAAAAAAAGAAAAGCAACTGGCATTTGTATGTAAATTCAGCTATTTGTAGTTCACACATTGTTATGTTGTTTTTGGACAGATGATGCGCTATTTTCTTCTTTTTATAAAGAATTTTTATTGAAATAGTAATATAGTGTTGGATGAATACTATGTGCAATTTGTTGAGGCTCTTTCTCTCTCTGTTATCTGTCTTTGTTATCGGATCCTTCTCATCAACCTTATGCATGAATGGAAATGTGGATAATATGTAATTTAGTGATAGCTTGACTGTCATCTGCCTGCTCAAATTTTATCCTTTCATCATTTAGTTTACTTATGAAAATTGACTTTTATTTTTTAGTGATTATTTTTCATTGTTCTCTTCTACGTATAAACTGAAATGTATATCCAAGCTATTATTACCACTACTACTAAATATTATTTTAATGGTGTCTCACTAGATTTTTATGTACTCCCTACCATTGTTACTTTTTGTCCTATATATATATATATATATATATATATATATATATATATATATGCGTGTGTGTGTGTGTTTGTCCTCACACTGCTTTTTTAAATAATCTTTGTGTATTCCGTTCCTGTTTACCTCATGTTTTTAGAAACAGTTTAAAAAGTCCTCATGTTTATGTACAACTTTTCCTAGGACACTTACCACAACCACACATAGCTATGCCTATACATGCACACGTGTACATACATTGTTTTACATTTACGTTTTCATTCTTTTATTTCCTTGTTTTATGCTTTCTCCTTAAATATCTAAGAAGAACCTATTTCTTCATCTTAGTTTTGTACTTACACCTAGATCATATTTGTCTGTACGTTCGCGTGTGTCGCCCCAACCGTTCGGGTTGTCTGGTTCCTTTTTTTCTCCTTCAATTAACCACTTTAATCACATTCTTTATGTGCATATTTCCTTCTATTCCTATTCATAACACACACATAAACACCATCTCACGTACACAGATACATTGTGTATATTTGTGTAAGAAAGAGGAAGAATTCTTATGTCTGATATTGTCATTTTCAGCTCCACAATCCAGTTTTGCATAAACACCACACCTGTCTGTTGTGTTTTTTCCCCAATTGGAAATGATTATAACAAAATTGTGCGCATACCAGAAGTAACCCTTGAACCCTAATAGCTGGTATTTGTGCTAAACAAGATTTTACATTGTCATTAGTTTTTACTCATTTTTTTATTAATTTCTATAATTACTTTCATTTTTCAAATCAATTTATTTGTTATTCGTGTATGTTACTGCCTCCCGTCACCCATTGCTTTTATATGTATGTTGGAAGAATACAGTCGAAGCAATCTTATTTATTTACATATAGAATACTCCTCCCCCAGAAATGTGACTTATTTCTGTCATATTTTCACTTTTCTTTTGTTTGCCCATTGCTTTGTTCATTAGTCCCTCTCCTTCAAACATATTCTTCTGCTGTGGTAACTCTTTTCTATGATTGTTTCTTTATATATATATTTGTTCATGCAAAATGATCTCCAGTTGTTCCATGTATTTGACCATTGATTATTTATTAATTATTATTATTGTGGGTATGTCTAAGAGAGAAACCTTTAGACGGAGGAAGATGTATAGAGAGAGTTTAGAGTAGTTTGTACATAAATAATTAACCTGAAAAACTATACGATCTCAATTTTGCTTTCACTATTGCTTAACTGTTCTTCTCTTTCGATAATTGTTAGAGATAGTATTCGATTTATTTGTATGATTTTTGTTCTATGTATTTATATTCGCCTAAATTTCTCTGAAATGTTGTCATTGTTTGGTTTCTTTTCATATGCCTTGATAAGTTTATGTATATGGTTTTCGCAATAGTTTCTTTTGATTGGATTGGTTTTTGATCCCGTGTTCCCTTTTTTCTTTCCCCAGTTGGATTTCACTATCTACCATACACAAATGTCGAAATCAATTTCTATGTGTTCCATACATTATGATTATTTTTTACAAATATACAAAATGTATGTTCACATATTTGTCATTTTTATAATTATTTAAATTATTTTTATTTGGTGTTTCCTTCTCAACTAATTAACCGACTACCTAGTCCTTGTCCCTGAATTATTTTACTTGCTTACACCTGTTACCCCTCGTGGAGGAGCATAGGCCGCCCACCAGCATTCTCCACCCAACTCTGTCCTGGGCAATTTTTTCCAGTTGTTATTCATCTTTTTCATATCTGCTTATTCCTTCAACTCCCAGGGCAGAGTTTAAATGGTCTGAATTATTTTTTCTGATTAGCGTTCTTTTAGCGAGTTAATTTTTCTACAGGATGGGGTCGCTAACCCCATGCCCCACCCTCCTCCTTTACCCGAGCTTGGGACCGGCAGTAACTCTAAAAGAGCTGCAGGCGGAGTTATTTTACTTACTACTTAATATATTACTTATTCATCAGTATCAACTTTTGTTGCTGTCATTTACACATTTTATTGTTAAAACTTTTATTGTGTGTGATAATGTTAAGCTAAAAATAACAACATACGTTTCTTTGTTTCTGTACAGTTTTTGTTTCTCCATTTAAAAATCTTCCTCGATTTCTACCCTTTTTTCTCCTGCTCGCGATCATCAACCGGGTGTTTTTTTTTTCAATCGTTTTACATCACAACATCCTACACACAATGTTAAAACTTAAAATCCTTGATTTATTGAATTTAGAAGGAAATATGAAAATAATGTAGGCGCAACATTCTTACCTCTGCTATCCTCTTTCTCTCTCTCCCTACAATTTTATGTGCCGTTTAATTTTAATATTATCTTTTCATTACTGGTATTGTTTGTTTGTGTTTTGTTTTTAAATAATTATTGTTATGACTTTTATTATATATATATATAATTTGGCTGTCACAGAAGTTAAACAAAGAATCAATAATTACCTACCTACCTCTTCGGTTCTTTTCTTGCCTTGTTTCTTTCATCATTTATATATTCACTATTCTCACAATTTTCCCGCTAAATCCACCATATGTTTTACCGTTTTTTCCTTTCTTTGATCAGGAATATTTCCTTGATTTTTGTTATCATATATTTATATAGTACTAATGTCAGTTTCTCTCCCATCATACTCATCATATCTCTTCTTCAATCTTCAAATAATTTCCTTGATCTTGTTGTATAATTTTTTTCTTTCTTATTGTACTTAAGTAAAATATAAAAAAAAAACTCTTAATATTTTCTTTGTTTATATTTTGGTTCTAATTTGTTGTTGATTCTCTTCTTCATTCGTCAATGTTACCATTTCATGATCTCCTGTTTATTCAGTTGTTTTTTTCTTCTTTCTAATTATTATTATTTGGAACCTGTCACGTTATATTTTTTTATATAAATGAATATACTTAAATATGTATAAATTTTATTTACATACAAATAAATATAATGTATTCTCAATTGTATTTTCACTTATATATAAATATATCAGATAGTTGAAACAAATTGCACCCAATCATTAACATTTATCATATGTCCACAGCAACACGTGATAAGTTTGAATGAGTTCAGTCTATCAAATCCGTTTGCTTGGTTGATGGAATTGTTGTTAGTGTTCTAATTAGTTAGATATCGCCTTCATAAATTTAAGCATAAGATGAAAAGTTGAAATAGTACTGTAGTTGTTCACATGATTAGTTTTTTAACGTCCTCTCTTAGAGATGCAATTTCCGCTACTCTTTTGCGTGAATTAACAAAATATCTGTAACATTAAATAATGTATATCATGATGTTAATTCAGTTAATAATAATGATTAGATTAGAAGAGGTCAAATATAAAGTAGTCAGTTAATGTCAAGTGTTACTGACGTATCATAATCTTGAATGACAATTGCATATTCCATGGTTAGTGTGTTTGACTGACCTAATAGAGAAAAACAGTTCATGAACTATAAGTAATTGTATAAACGAACAGTACTATTTTCAATTTGATCTTCATCAGCCTTTAATATACAATGATACTTAAATACACATAAAAAAAACCTGATCAAAACAGTTTATAACCGTGGGACAGATTATTTAAATAATCCGTAAAAAGTACAAATTGATAGGTTTACTAATTCTGATAAGTGCAATAAAGGTTTGAATTCAGGTTTCACTTCTAAAGTATATCAAACGTGTAAGTCATGTTTTTTTTTAAAATAAATTACATGCGTCATTACGGTTGAGATGTAATACAATAACTTATTAACTGAAAGTTACTTCGACTAGATTAGGTCACTTCATCAATCAGTCAATAGTTTAATTTCCATTCACTAACAAAATGGTCATCTATGTCCCAGTTTTCCCTTCTTGTTCAAATAAATTTGATTCAATACACTTTTCTAATTATAAACCCGTCACGCCGATGGATGCAGTACACAGTCTTAACTTGATTACTGTCAATATGATCTTTACTCTCTAATATATATTAACATACAGGTTCAGTTAACAAAATGTCTTACTTCCGTGTACCTATTGATATTGGTATTTCAAATGTAGCATCACGTGAGCTGTGAATCTGAACAATAAAAAGTATTTGTGACGCCTCTCATCATTCGACTTCCTATCGTTATTCTAATAATAGGGGAGATTTTAACGGAAAATTGGAATTCCCTAGATGTATTGATCGTATGAAGACAAATTAATAAATTTATTTTTTAAAAAAAAAACAATAAAGGAAGGTTCACTAAGGCTTTCAACACGTAACTTTCCATTTTCTTTTTTGGGTACATCACAACCGGTTATTACTTATGTTAACCTGATGGTCTAATATTTTAGTACCAAACATTTTGTATGAATTAGTGAATAGTTCACTCCATTAACTATTTTTGGAATAGGTGAACAAAACATTGATCTGACTCCTATGGTATTTATTAAGTATTGGACAAGATTTCTGTCTTTTGTGATACTTTATAGCAAAATAATATCCGATTGTTTGTTGAACGATCATGTGGTGTGTAGCCATCATATCCATTTCAAGTTAATTTTTAAAATGGGGAAAAACATCGCCCAGATGTTCGTTTCTGTGTGGTGTTCCGCTTTTTATGAGTTAGATAATTTCATTGAGGAGCTTTTTTTCTGGACAATTGTAGAAGTCGACATAAGTTGTCAGTCATCAGCAAAGTAGAACGTCAATCAGTTCAAATCAACACACTGTATCAACGCAGTAAAATAAGATTATTAAGGAAAATGTTAGGATCTAAGGTGGGATAGTATGTGTATGTGCGCCGGTATGGTTGTTCCTAAGCCGTATTATCAAACACCAACTTTTGATCACAATAATCTGATGGACCCTACCCAAATAGTCTGCATCCTTATGAACTAATATCAAGTCTTGGTTTGTTCTCCGCGTAGCCTTCTTCTAACATATTTCCAGACCAACAAACATCACTTTTTAGCTGATTATACGTAACTACATCAGTTGTTGAAGACTACTATCTCATCAACTGTTTTGAGACTGAGTTGGAAAAAAATAAGGTAACACTCATTACATTATGACTCTCAGT